GGGATGTGAGCAGAGTCTGCCAGTGGCCATCTATCTCATCAAGAGGAGAGTCTGCTGCAAGATGAAGAGACACAGAGTCCAGATAACACTGTGGGGACTTCTTGGAGGCAGCCTTGCTTGGAGAAGGCAAATGTCCAGACTTTGCCATTATGGGTACAGACTCAAAATCAAGCTACTTTAATTTGATTGTGTTTGCATTACCAGCAACCATGAGTCCTAACTAATGCCCTTGGCCTTTCTAGAAAAGTAAATAATTTTCCTTCAACCGTTTGTGTAAATCATTCTCTTTCAACCATTTGAGTCATGAGGATGTGCAACATCTTTTTTTAAAATTCTTATTTTTGACAGAAAATCTCAAGAGCTTGTTTCTTGGGTGCTTGTGTTATCATGGACCTAAATGATAAGAGGGCTTGGGGGATTGGGAAGGCTTTGGGCACCCAGTTTCTGTGATTGAGTTCCCTTTTCTAAGAAGAGCTCACTTGAGTTCTGAGTGAGTGGGAGTGGATTCTCCCTTCCATGCAGTGGTCGCCCACTAAGATCTCCAACCCCACTTTCCAATAGACCCTATTGCAGAGTAATGGATTTCTCTTCTTGTTATAGCTCCTGTAAACCCAGTTTTTCCCCTTGTTTGAACTTTTCATTTTCAACTTAGCTGTTATTCAACACTCAGAATTCTAGTTTTTGTACAAATGGTAATTGAATCTAAAGGTAAAAAGCAATGATATGTGTATAACTAGAATCTGTTCTTTGAAGCAAAATGTATTGATCTCCTAACAAACTGACAATCTAAAGTGGGCAAGGATTTCTGATGAAACTAGTAAATTCCCACTTTACTCTAAAAAGTATAGCCTTATTAAAACTTCACTGCTGAAATCCAATTCATCCTTCAAGGCTTATCTCAAATGCCAACTCCTCAGCAGTACCTCCTTGATATTTTGAAATGAATGCTATTATTCTTATCTGTACTGCTATAACATTTGTAGATAAATACAATGACACAGATATAATTATTCTGACTTTTTGAACAGCTCTGTTTGTTCTTCAACAAGGCAGTAGATTGGGAGTATGTTATTTATCCTTTCATAGTACTTAGCACTGTACTTTTCACACAGTATAGTCCCAAGAAATAAATGAGTGATGAAGTAAATAAATCTTCTTTTATGATATGAGAAAGCTGATACAAAAAATATGTCACTAATAGAACATAGGTGCATCTCAGAAGAACTGGGAAGATTAGTTGGTTAAAATAATTGAAGCTACAATAGAAGGGATGACTGTGGTCACAGCGTCATCCAGGTGATTATGACTCACAGCTGCCCTACAGGACAGAGTAGAATTACCCCATACTGTTTTCTTGGCTGTAATTCTTACTGAACAGATCACCAGGTCTTTTCTCTCATGGAGCTGATGTTTTGGTTTGAACTGCTGACATTTTTATTAGCAGCCAAGCATTTAATCATTGTGTCACCAGGGCTCCTTGAGGGGAAGAATGGAGGAGTGGAGAAAAGATATATAATTTCTTTAACCTAGAAAAAAACACATTTATTAAATAGTGTTAATAATTAAACAGAAACTCTCTTTTCTAATGATGCAACTAGAACTAGCATCTCAAAATGTTACTAGAGAATTTAAATATCTGAAAGGTGCAATAGCTGGAAAAGTGTAAGCAGAGCAAATGAGGAGAGAAGAAAAAGTGCTGAAGATCAATTTAATTCCAACTGTATGAGGATGTGCCTTTCTATTTGC